CGACATAAGGCCAAGATAGGGACTACATAGGCCAAGATAGGGCCAACATCGGCCAAGATGTGGGCTACCTGGGTCGACATTACGCCAAGATGTGGGCTACATGGGCCAACCGAGGGCCAAGACAGGGGCAAACCTGCGCCCAAATAGGGCCAACATCGGCCAACAACAACAACAACAACAACAACAACAACAACAACGACAACGACAACGACAACGACAACGACAACAACAACGACAACAACAACAACAACAACCACCACCACCACCACAACAACAACAACACCACCAACGCCCGCTCGGGCTGACGGGTCTGCTTTTGCCGGCGCCCGGCTGTCAGGCGTAAGCCTCATAAATCCGGGCGCCGGCCCCGCGCCCGTGTCCTTGCCGGAGGCCTTCGGTTGGTAACCGAAGGTTATATACGCTTGCCACCTGCCGCCGACCCACCTCGTGTCGATTCCGGTTCACCCCGTGTTCACGATTATCGTTGTAATTTACAGTGTATTCTGCGTGTGGTGTTCAAAAAACATCGTTTTTTACAGGGTTTTGTGGCCTTCGCCGTCTCCGGGTTTCATCTCGGCGACGTTAAAAAACTATGGGTTTTTCAGGGTTTTGGGTCTTAGGAAGGGGTCCGGAACGGAAAACTGGACATCTTGCCGGCCTTGGTGCCAACATAGGGCCAACATCGGCCAAGATGTGGGCTACATGGGTCAACATAAGGCTAAGATAGAGGCAAGCCTGCGCCAACATAGGGCCAACATCGGCCAAGATGTGGGCTACATGGGCCGACAGAAGGGCTAGATGGGTCAACATACGGCTAAGATAGGGGCAAGCCTGCGCCAACATAGGGCCAACATCGGCCAAGATGTGGGTTACATGGGCCGACATAAGGCCAAGATAGGGACTACATAGGCCAAGATAGGGCCAACATCGGCCAAGATGTGGGCTACATGGGTCGACATTACGCTACATGGGCCAACCTAGGGCCAAGACAGGGGCAAACCTGCGCCCAGATAGGGCCAACATCGGCCAACAACAACAACAAAAAAAAACGGCGACCACGACGACAACAACAACAACAACAACACCAGAACATGGACATGGATTACACCCAACGCACACCCTGCTTTGGCCGGCGCCCGGCTGTCAGGCGTAAGCCTCATAGATCCGGCGATGCCTCGCCGTGTAGTGGTGGCAGCTAAGCATAGCTTTAGCTACCCGGGGGCGCGCCCCTGCCGCCGACCCTCCCCTAAAATCTTTCAGCCTGCTGGGGTTTTCACGTTTTTGGGGGTTCGGGGTGGGAAAAAAGAGGGTAAAATTTGAAGATGCGTTTTGGAGGTCCTTGTTGGGCGTTTTTTGGTCGATTTTTGGCCAATTTTTCATAAATTTTTGGTACTGTCCACGCGTAAAAATCGTGTAATTTACAATGTTTTTGTGCCTTTGGCATCCAAAAAAAGCTTCTGACAACATGCAGGAAACTGCGTAAATACCAGTGTTTTTGCTAGGCCCGGGCCACAAAACACTGTAAATACCGTGATTTTTGCTAGCAGAGGCTCAAAACCTCGTAAATACCGTGGTTTTGCGTTGGCGCGGAGCCAAAAACATCGGTATTTACGGTGTATTTTTGTTCCGAGAATGTGAAAAATCGCGAAAACACCGCCTATTTGGCGCTTTTTGGGGGTTCGCAAAAACCGTCGATTTGACGATTTTGAGACAAAGATAACAACGACAACGATAACAGGACCAAGCAGCAACAGCTATAACAACAATAACAACAACAACAACAACAACAACCACGACGACGACGACGACGACGACGCCGACGACGACGAAGACGACGACAACAACGACAACGACGACAACGACGACAATGACGACAACGACGACAACAAGGACAACGACAACGACAACACGAACAAGAACAAGAACAAGAACGAGAACGAGAAGGAGGACCAGAAGCAACAACAACAACGACGACGACGACGACGACAATGACGATGACGACAACGAAGATGCAGCTCGCAGCATGTCATGTCCGCAAGTTCAGATGAAATCCCCCTCTCTCTTTCCCTCCCCCGGCCCCCTACAGGCATCGCCGGTGTGCGAAGCTCTACAATAAATAAATATTGGATTAAGGACTGAACAAACAAACGACTGAATTTGTGAAATGGGTGTGTGTATATATATATATACAGATATATATATATAGATATAGAGAGAGAGAGAGACTTATTTATATAGACAAATTGATAAACGAAAGAAAGTCAGACATATGTCAAAGTACAGTAGCATCCGTAGCCCAAGACTGTACCTCTGTCTTTGTGTCCCACTTTGAACACCTACCCTGCTGTGGTCCAAGCATGATTGAATCGACAAACCAAATTTAGAATCCGTGACCCAAGAGAGCTGGCCACAGCTGCTACAAATATCTACAAATACCCATAAATTTTCACCACCGCTTTACAAACAGCTCCTGAGACGCAGCAACAAGATACGCTGGGCTTTCGCAAAAACTGATGGCTTAGGTGAAAACAAGATACTGTGTGCTCGTTGGCACCTTCAAGCCAAGAGTCTAGCTCATTTCGTCCCTGAACGAGCACCACCGGGGCTGGGGACTCATCCTTAGGAAAGCAAAGGCTTGCTCCAGTTTGGGTGTTCCATCATAGACTGATAGACTCTGATAGACTTGACTGGGGATCTTTCACCGTTTACCTATCTGCGTCACGCCTTGTCGTAGAACAAACAAGAGAACATCGCAAAAGTTGTCGATGGACCAAAAATGCTTTTTGTCACACTTCTACCGCGGCAGCCAAGCATCATTTCCGTGGAATGTCTGAGAGAGTGTCGGTGCTTCACGGAGGGGATCGAAATCCGACAACAAGTCCACTGTCGTGGGGTTGCTGGACATGTTTAGGCGCACTTAGTAGTCTCGTCTAGACTGTGATCTCGCACCAAGTTGTGCAGCAAATGGCTATGAAGCAGGTGGGTGCACCAAGGGTTGAATCTGTGTAAGCACTCCGGAACGGGTCACAAGATGGGCACATTCATACTAATTCATACCTCTACTTTACAAGTGTGGGAGCATTAGAGAGAAAGCGGTGCATGCATCTTTGTGAACATGTCTCCAGAATTGCTCGTGAATAGGAAACCATGCATGTCCTGTTCCTTCTTTGAGGTAACAAGTGCGCGCCTCCGCGACAAGCTAGACATCTGCGCCTGCTGACACCGAACCTAAGCAGAGCCATACTGGCAGGAAGTTCAAAGTCGTCGTTCCAGCCGTGGTTCATTCCAGGGATATGTATGTGTGTATATATATATATAATTAAGATTAATTAAGTAATAAATCAACAGTCTGATATGTGTCAAATGACAATCACATCTGTTTATCCAAGTCAGTCAGTCAGTCAACACATAGAGATGAACAGCCAAGTAGAGTTTTTTCTGTTTCCCAGAGAGAGAGAGAGAGAGAGCGACTCAAACATATCAATGCCACATTGAAAGCCACAGAAGTAATAAAGCTTGAGGGTCAAATAGACACCATCACCAAGCCAAGTGTGCGCCAGAGTCTCTCGCAAGATTGATTGCCCAAAAAGCCAAGGCCCATACAGTTGCTTTCAGCTGTTCAATGGCTTGCATCCTGAACAGAGCAACTTTGCAGAGAAAGTGACGAGGACAGGAGAACATTGATCGCAAAAGGCTCGTGTGGAGGCGAAACAGGTTCAATCCGTTCAATCCCCACAACTTCACTCAGACATTTAGCCCCAGCCGAAGCCTGTTCTGCTGCTGCTTCCGCACACCAGTCCATGATCCCTTCGGCCTTGCATAGGCAGAGAAATACAGAAATGCCAAACATAACGACAATTCCTAAGGATCTGAGGTCTTCCCAAGCATTTCAGAGTCACCTTAGTCATCGCTATCTAGGCTGAGCAGCAAAGTACAAAAACTTGCATCTGGAATCGATGCGTGAAGGATACGAAGACGCGATAGTAGACGCAATAGTATGTATGTATATATATATATTAATCTTGTAGGTGTTCCATCGGAGACTTTCACCTTACCTCATCACCTTCCACTCTCGAGATTTTGACTTACCAAACAAGAGCCTTCACCTTCACCTTCTCATGCACCATCTCTCACTCCCAACGCTGGCCTCATTGCTGCCTGCGGCCTGGACATGGACGAGCTGTGTAGTGTTGCCAATCAATATAATCTATCACCATGAAGTATTGCTGCGAAACAGACTCCAAATTCCACAGAATTGCGTTGTTCACCAAAAGTCGTCTAGAAGATGTCATATAGATTGCTAGATGCTCTTTGCCCGCTCGTCACTGACTTCACTGAATGTCGTTCAACCACTACATCATGAAACATCAAAGAGGATTCCAAAAATTCACCAGAAGAATACCGTCTTTCAAGTTTCAAGTTCAAAGCCTCACTGCTTGCCGCCTCGGCCGTTTCGCAGCGCTCTCAGGGCGCTTCGTGGTATTGGCCCCTGGTTCGCCGCTTTGCTGCTGGCGGACACTTTGAAAGGGTGTGCTATAGACTATAGAGCCAAAGGGATTGAGCGCTACGGAACAGATTCGGAGCAATGAAGCTACTTCGCAGGTGAATAGTGTGGCAACTTGCTATATCAATTTCGATGATTGGTGGCAGAATTGAAACTTCGAATAAATACTTCCGATGTTCAGCCCTCTCTCACTACTGTATGGCACCGCAGCATATTTTCTCCAACGATGCTAGTGCCCACAGGATGCGACAGGTTGCTTTGGTCACCTGCAGAGCACCTGCATGACGCAAGATGGTTCCAGGCTTAAAAGGTTGGGCACATCGGTAGAAAGCAAAAGTTGCTACAGTTGTCTTTGCAGCTTGCACCTGGCAACAGCTGTTTTGTCCAAGGACAAGTCTTCTGGCTATGATATCGACTTGGTTACCCCGCTGTTACTCCTTCAAAGTCATGGCGCGATGATGCAAGTGCCCACAGGATGCAGCAGGTTACTTTGGCGTCATTTGCAGAGCACCTGCACAACGCAAATTAGTTCCAGGCTTGGCATTCTGGCGGTTGGGCACATCATACACCAGGCAACAGCCAGCTAAGTTTTGGTTGCTGCTCAACGGCAAGTCTTTTTTGGGGCCTGGCATCGACTAGGGGACTTCTGTTGTCATGGCAACATGGGGATAGTGATGTTCTGGTAGAAAAGTCTCTTTCTGGCCAAGCAGAGTTTCACTTTCTATTCAAATATGCCAAAGAGTGCACCTCTTTGTGAGCTTTCTGGCACTCGAGGCTGCAGAAAGGCCCAAGACACCGAGGACATTTGTACCTTCCAAGTGCATCATGTCTGCAGGTCATTTCGGACAACATGAAAGTACTCGTAAAAGTACATGAGTTGTAAAAGTGCTTTGTTTCCAACGACCACTCGCCTCGCCCACTTCAAGCAGTGACACCGGAGACGTTTCGGCCACATGGATGGACCTACCTGGCCAGAGTTCTTCAAATCAACCAGTCTTTGATGGTCTTTGCTCTGTGAATCACTGTCAATACCTGATAGTGAAAGCAAGGTTGTGCCAAATCCGTGCTTGCTCCGACACCGTGGTGACCAAGAATGCTACAACCAATGTTTGAGGGAGCTGAACTTTAAAACATCTTCAGCAACTAAAAGCAGTAGCAGAAGGCTCAGTGCAAACAGATCCATTTTCCCCAGAGCTATTTGGTCGATGCGCGGTGTCGCGTGCTACTCACAAGCGGTGAAACCGCACGCGCCTGTCAAGAAGCATACATCATCCACCCCAAAGTTGACTCGAACCATCACTTGATTCACTTTTGTTACTGCCACGGTCCTGGAAATGTCTGCCTATTATATGGCGTTCGTCCCTTTTGGAACAACTAAAGTAACTAAAGTTTGGATCACCACGTCCAAATATCAGGTGGCACCTCCATTTTTTGGCATTTACTTCTTGTCTTCGAGATTGGCCTCTCCGCCCTCATCCTGCGAGAAGCTTTAGGGGTTTTCATGAGGATTGGTCAGCTGGCAAGAAGAAAACAAACAATAGTCCACCAGCTGTTTTTTTGGGGTTGCAGGGACAAACTAACTCTCAAGAGACTTTGAATCCACTTACTTTCGCAGCTTCAAACTTTTTGTGATTTCTTACCATCCTCAATCCATCTCTGATTTTGTGGCCATTCATGCCTTGAAAATGCGCCTGATCTTGGAGGTTGTATCTCCTTCCCAGATTCATAGCAACATCCAGCAGCTGAATTGGACCGCCAAGTCCTTCTTGATGCGCTGACGAATTAGCTGCACGACCTGAGCGACACACGGGCCGAATCTAGCGACAAGATCTCTTGATGATGGCCTCGACGAACTGGGGAGCATCATAATCAAATGGAAAGGGACTCCCAGAACTCTCAGAACTCCTGGAAATTTTAACTCCCCCAGTTCCCCATTCTGCACGCTTCCCAAGCAGAAAATGCAGAAATGCTTACAATTTGCAGCAGCATTGCCTGATTTGCCTGCCAAGCCACAGCACGGTCGGTACGAGCCGCCAGCGTGTGCATCTTCCGCTCAACATCCCGCTTCAGGTCCTCAGTGAGGGTCTCAAACTGACCTGCATTCCTATAGAACCGGACAGCTTTGGACTGCAACCTGGAGGTTTCTGGCACCACACCCCTGCAGACACTCAGGACTGGGCCCAGTTCGGTTTCCGCGGGGCTATGGCCAGTACTGCATCGGTATCCTGCAGCTCAGTTGGCTTCAGCATGGTAAGCACATCCATGCACGTCCCAAGTATCAGCACAAACACATATCATATCGGGTTGAATCAGTTGAATCCTAACATTTGACAATTTGTAGACAACCAGACAACCATGATATGCGCAGAATTTCTTCGCTTCGCCTGTCTCGGACCGCTGTTAGCCCGTAGCCGCGACGCCCACCAGCCTCAGCAGCCGCAATGGCCTCCTGGATCTCTTTGTCAATCTCTGCCTGGGCTCACTTGAAATTTCCACATAGTCCTCCTGTGACGATCACCATCGTTCCACAAGCAGACAAAAGCGGTGATAGTGGTGAGTGGATACATGATACATGTATATAGATAGATGATGATAGATGTAGATTGCATGTTTGTCCAAATTTCTCGCAAACATTCAATGTGTTGTCTTTTGACCATCCATGACCCTTCGTCAGCAGACCCCCCCACCTCGATGTCTGCAGAGGTGATCCTACGCTTCGCTTCAGACTTAAATCGAAAACATGTTGAACTATGTTGAATATGTTGCATGTCAAAGACAGAGTGAGAAAATTGAGACTTCCACAATCCAAAAACACGATTTGGGATACAAAGGAATGCAATTGACGGAGCTTTCAACTCGGCTGGCTGCTACAGCTCCTGGGCAGGCAAAAATCCCGCAGGTCTGGCCTCAGTTGGGCATTCCACAGCTGGCATCAACTGCAAGCAGAATGTTTCCTTTTGTGTTTCCAAGTTTTTTCGAGATTTTCCAGGTGTCAAGGGCCCCAGGCGTTCGCGGAATGTAATTGCGGAAATGGATTTGGCGATCATCTGAGCTGCTGGTGCAACAAGCTGAGAGCATTGTGCAACGATATCATCATTCTCCAAAGGCATTCACCAAAGATCCAATGGTACAAGTACTTCTCCCAGTAAAATGATTTTTAGACATGATCTTAACACTAGGAGGTGAGACGGGTGGGCATTTGATGATACCAACAGTTGCCAACAACTGAAGGAACGATGCCATGTCGCAACGAGTGATAAACTCTTTTTGCCTATCCATGAGTTACTGCTCCGTCAGTTCCTCGCTGTTTCAGATCACAACCCCGGAAGGGCTGGCCTTTCGGCAGGTCTTTGGCCTTCTTCGCTTTCTTTTTGGGGGGCCTTATCGCCCGGGGCATGGTCAACATTCAAACATAATATTGAGAGATACAAAGCTATTGTGGGCACCATGAGCCCTCATGGGTCCCTATATATAGATCCAAGATCCATCTGTGAACCTACAGATCAAGTCCAAAGTCTCAGGATAGCACTCGACGGCCTGCCCCTGGCGTGCAACCAAGCATGGCAACTCCCCAAGTGTCAAGGTTGAATCAAGTCTCGAGTACTTGTATAAGGATTTTAGATGCTGGAAATAAAAAGGGATCTCCCAGCCCAAATATATTTTCCCTTTTGTTTCGAATTGTGGACTGCAACAGAATGCTTATCAAGAACTGACCACGCGCCAACCGAGCACAGTGTTGCCTCTATGGCCATGGGCACGGTGAGCGCCCGCCAGCCAGGGCCCAGCTTGAGCCAAAACACATGAGGAGAATGCAACCAGTCCACAAATGATTGTAGACCCCTAGTCAAGAAGTATATAAATTTCCATGCCTTTGCTCACCTCCACATATACAATTCATGCAGCTCGGTTTTCTGCTCGCTGGTCATGAGCAAATGGTTGAACATGTGCGTCTAACTTGCAAGCTCTTGCTCTCGCTCCAAGACATGCATTCGCCGCCTCGCAGCTAAAGAAGTTTGGCGTCCCCTCTGCCTTCGTCAATGAGAAGCATCTAGCTTCATAAATGCATAGGATTCATAGGATGATAACTGCTAGAAAATATCCTTGATGTGTTGCTTGACTAGTCAATGAAACAGACAGCAATAGCAACAAGTGGTGCCACTTTTTTTGATCTGCTGGATCTGAAGCATGAACAGGCCAGGAGTGTATCTCACCCACACTGTAAGACACATTCCCTGAGGCCCTGAGGTGTGCACAGAGACCAATTCCGCCAACTCCTGTCACCGTCTCTAAGCCCCCATTTTGTTGGGATACTATATGGCTTGCTACATGAAGACGTCCAGAGCCTCCTGTTTCTTGAGGCTGCACACTACACCTGCTTTTTATTTGCTCTCACTGCTGGTGGGATGTCTCTAGTTGGCAACTCAGTAAACTTATCGGCTTTGATTGATTCCTTTCAAATTCCTTCCTCCTAAACTTCTCCCCAAAACCCAAACAGAGCTGCAGTCCCTGAATGTAAAACGCCGGGATCGGCGCTTTTTGGCCTCAGCTTCTGTGAAGAGCTGCAGAAGGTTGTGAAGAGCTGCAGCCCTTGGTGTCAGACTTGTCGCGACGATGCCCTTGGAAAACGGGTGCATGCAAATTGATGCTGGAATTGAGCTTTGTTGGGGATGAGACAGCTGTTTTCCCTGAGTTCTGTGCCTTTCGCCCCGCCGCCGCGGTTTCTCTGGCTCCTCCTCCATGGGGCATTGATTGAGGGTTTGCAAATGCTGCACAGAAAGATTATCTTGGATCAATGCTCCAAACCCTCTCCTCACTTTCGGATGCATCATCTTGACGCTCCTGCCAGTTGAGACATGACAGTTGCCTGCCACCTGTCACCATCTCCCAAACCTTTCCCAGATTAATCTACGGAGTGGTGCCCGAGTTGTTTAATATAAAGCAAATGCCCAAAACATTTTGCCAAGTTAGACGGATCACAAAAGCATGAAAATTGTTTTCCAATTATATAATCTGAAAAAAAAACACATGCATTCATCACCAGGATTCGCAAATGGATCGGCCCCACCTTCTCCAGCACGAAATCCAGCTCCAGCAAGGCTAAACGCTCTGATTTCTCTTTGATCTGGGCCACCTTGTGCTGAAGCCTGACATGTCACCGCAAATCTCTGCGACTTTGGTTCTGAAGTAAACAATGCAAGCAGAGCCCTGCCAGTCCATTGTAGTTAATTATAGTTCATGCAGGAAATTTCACATGTTTTTTCTTTTAAGAATTGCTGAACCTTTCCCCTGCAAAAATGGGACTCAACTGCTGGTCACTGGTGCCGCATTTCTTCCATCAAATGATTTCTTGTGATCTACATGGGTGAAGTCTGATAGCTGTCGGTGCATTTCAGTTGTAGTGACGGTCAGTTGTATGTCGAGTGTATTCGAACGCTGGGTATTTGTGCTTGTTTGCGCCTGCGTGCCTTTTGCATGACCAGGTCAGGTCCCTCAAAAAGAACATGAAAGATCGCAATACCTTCAAAATAAAACAACCATGCCATGCCAAGACAATAATATTGGTAAAACCGCAATAGTACCCCAAAACCCTATACGGATGGAACCTCGCAATCCCTACCAGCCACACCCATCCCTCCACAAACGGGTCTGATTTTTATTCCGAGACTGACTTTGCCAGGCTGCGGAGAAAAGATATCCAGCTCCATGAGCTCGAAATCTGAACGATTTTTAGCTGGGAAACACCCAGGTTGTTTCAACAGCCAGAGCAGCTCTGCTCCAGCCAAGTAGTTTCTCATCACTTGGCTCAAGCCAGTAGTCACGCCAGTCAAGCCAGTCTGGCGAAGGGACTGGGCCCTTTGGCAGCGTTGGGAAGTCTTGAGAACATGAATCGTATGGAGAATGCCACCAAACAAGAAACTGGCAACTGCAAATAATTGAAATCAGCCGCACAAGTTCATAAAAACGCTCCACAAATTCTTACATTCTATATATAGGATTGACGTGCTCGCCTTTTTTGTGCCAAGCAGGGTTAGGTTTGTAGCAAAAAGTTGGCTAAGACAACTACTCATCCTACCCTCGGCCCTGTGCTCACGGAGTTTAAACACTCACGCTCCGTAGCCATTGAAATCCAACAACCCCACAGTTTATCAGTTTAAGATTGGGTTATGAGGAGAATGGAACAAATTTAGCCAAGGGCAGGATGTGGGAGGTAGAAGACAAAGCCACGCTTTGAGCAAAAAAGGGCCGAGCGTGCGTAAATCCTAAAACTGGAGGTCCAGCAACTAGGATTGACGTACTTGCCTTTTTTGTGCCAAGCAGGGTTAGGTTTGTAGCAAAAAGTTGGCTAAGACAACTACTCATCCTACCCTCGGCCCTGTGCTCACGGAGTTTAAACACTCACGCTCCGTAGCCATTGAAATCCAACAACCCCACAGTTTATCAGTTTAAGATTGGGTTATGAGGAGAATGGAACAAATTTAGTTCTCCTTCCACGTCCCCCAAACATCCAGAGAACTGGAGGCTCAACGTGGCTAAGTTGATGAAAGCTGAAATAAGGCAATTGAACAGTATTCACAATGGCCTTGACGATGGAGCAGCTATGCGGGTTAGACTCAGAGCTAGAGCGCCGCAGCGTTGGTAACCTCCAACAAGCCATTGTCAAAGGACAAAATCGGCAGCAAGAGGTGAATTTTACGTACGAAATTGTCTTAGGGGCAAAAGAGAGCTGAGGTAACGATGAGAGGGGTAATAATAGAGAAGTCCCTTGCTCGTCACCAAGCAGCTCATACGTTGTCAGGGAAGCACTTAAAACACTGGCTGCAAATGACACCCGCGGACCATCGGTGCCTTGTCCAACCGCTAGGACCATCCAGCCAAACACCCGTGGCAAAGGGTTTGTTCAGAAAGGTCCTGGGTTAAGATGCTGGAAGTAAGAAAGTGCTGACCGTCTGTGGGTGGTCCCCATATAATAGCTGGCCATAAAGGACCAGGGGGTACCAAACAAATTTTTGAATTGCAAAGTTACAATGACACTGAAAAAAAAAAGGTGACCGCATGTGGGTGCTCCCCGTATGATCAAAGGAAGTTTAGGGGGAGAAACTTCCGTGTTACGGACTTTTAGAATGTCAGGGAAAGAGTTAGTCAAAGAAAGAGTTAGCAAAGAAAGAGTTAGTCAGGATATATGAGGTAGTCAAAGAAAGAGTTCGCAAAGAAAGAGTTAGTCAAAGAAAGAGTCAGTCAAAGAAACAGTTAGTCAAAGAAAGAGTTAGTGAGGGAAAGAGTTAGTGAGGGAAAGAGCTAGTCAAAGAAAGAGTTAGCAAAGAAACAGTTAGTCAGGGAAAGAGTTAGTCAAAGAAAGAGTTAGTGAGTGAAAGAGTTAGTCAAAGAAAGAGTTAGTGAGGGAAAGAGTTCGTCAAAGAAAGAGTTAGTCAGGATATATATAGTCAAAGAAAGAGTTCGCAAAGAAAGAGTTAGTCAAAGAAAGAGCAAAGAAAGAGTTCGTTAGGGAACGAGTTAGTCAAAGAAATTGTTCCCGCAATGTAAATGGGATTGCAAGTGGTGCTGGTGGATGAGTTGCCGATGGAGTTTTGAAGGAAGTCTCGCACGAAATGCGTTTTTGAGAGATAGCAGATGCACGAAACCCTGTGTTTTTCCATACAAAGTCCGTCCCCGAACGCCGATGATCTACCTCTGCGGTGCGACGGGTGCGAGACGGTCTCGTGTGTGGTCGGATCATGGTCGGATCATTCTCGGATCGGTTCCGCATTGTAAATGGGGTTTCAAGTGTTTTTCGTGCATGTGCGGTCGACAGAATTCCATTGTGATTTGCAACTGTAGGATCGTTCCCGCAATGTAAATGGGATTGCAAGTGGTGCTGGTGGATGAGTTGCCGATGGAGTTTTGAAGGAAGTCTCGCACGAAATGCGTTTTTTTCTCCATTTTGGCGCTAGTGATTTTCCTTCTAAAAATCCTTTTAAAAAGTGCTTCAAAATCGTTTTTTTTCTCGCTCTGGCATCGAGATCCGGTTTTGGAGCTACAATTTCCGACGCCGTTGCGCGTAGTTCTATTGTGTTTTGCAACTCAGTCTCCGCAGATCGCATTGTAATGGCTGCGTGAAGGTTGCTTCATGCTGTGGCTGCATGCGTAATACTATTGTCTTTTGCAGCTGGACTTCGTAAATCGTATTGGAGTGGCTGCATGAAGGCTGCCACAGTGATTTGTCAGCAGATTTTCTCCATTTTGGCGCTAGTGATTTTCCTTCTAAAAATCTTTTAAAAAAGTGCTTCAAAATCGTCTTTTTTTCGCTCTGGCGTCGAGATCCGGTTTTGGAGCTACAATTTCTGACGCCGTTGCGCGTAGTTCTATTGTGTTTTGCAACTCAGTCTCTGCAGATCGCATTGTAATGGCTGCGTCAAGGTTGCTTCGTGCTGTGGCTGCATCGTAATACTATTGTCTTTTGCAGCTGGATCTCGTAAATCGTATTGGAGTGGCTGCATGAAGGCTGCGACAGTGATTTGTTAGCAGATTTTCTCCATTTTTGCGCCAGTGATTTTCCTTCTAAAAATCCTTTTAAAAAGTGCTTCAAAATCGTCTTTTTTTCGCTCTGGCGTCGAGATCCGGTTTTGGAGCTACAATTTCCGACGCCGTTGTGCGTAGTTCTATTGTGTTTTGCAACTCAGTCTCTGCAGATCGCATTGTAATGGCTGCGTCAAGGTTGCTTCGTGCTGTGGCTGCATTGGTAATACTATTGTCTTTTGCAGCTGGATCTCGGAAATCGTCTTGGAGTGGCTGCATGAAGGCTGCGAAATGGATTTGTTAGCAGATTTTCTCCATTTTGGCACTAGTGTTTTTTTGTTGCACGTAGGTTTAGAGCAGTGGGAAGTGTGGGGCGTAAAGAGTGCAGTGTGAAGTGTGAAGTGTGAAGGAAGCAGTGGGAAGTGAAAAGTGTGAAGTGTGGAGTGTGAAGTTTCAGTTTGGAGTGCGAAGAGCGCAGTGTGAAGTGTGAAGTGTGAGGTTTGGAGTGTGAAGGAAGCAGTGAGAAGTGAGAAGTGTGAAGTGTTAAGTGTGGAGTGTGAAGTGTGGAGTGTGAAGTTTCAGTTTGGAGTGCGAAGAGCGCAGTGTGAAGTGTGAAGTGTGGAGTGTGAAGTTTGAAGTTTGGAGTGCGAAGAGTGCAGTGTGAAGTGTGGAGTGTGAAGTTTGAAGTTTGGAGTGCGAAGAGTGCAGTGTGAAGTGTGGAGTGTGGAGTGTGAAGACTTTGCTTCGTCTCTCGCTGAAAAAATCAAACGGTTGTCGAGGGAAGGACACGGTCGGGACAGGGTGTCTTTGAACTATAGGTCATTTATGTTTGGGAAACTTCCGCCGCCGGCTTGCCCGGGTCTATGTTAACTGGCCATCAAGGACCAGGGGGTAACAAAAACTGTTTGAAAACGAACAAAGAAGAAAAAACCCTTATCCGTTAAAAATGGTGGGACCCATAAGTCCTGTGGCCAAGCGAATTGGAACGGGGTACTGCGGGGAGCAATTACTCGAGGTTTACCCCCATACCTGTTTATTGAATCAAATCCGCTGTTGTGCCAGGAGCAGCAGCCCTGGACAGCGATCTGCATAGCGGTTTTGCAGGTTCAACCTGCGTAAACCACTTTACCAAAACTTCTGACATTACAGAGTTTGTGAGGGCAGCAGGGCACAAACAAGGGACACCTGAAACACACCAAGGAGAAAGGCTCCAAGAAGCCCTTTCGCCGCTATTTGAATGCGAGGGCTGAGGATCCAAAAGCGCCCTCGCAATTGGGGGAAAGAAAACACAGCAAAAGCGACAACGCAACAAGCACCAGAAAAACAATTACGACAACGATAACGACGACAACAACAACAACAACAAAAAAAAACAACAACAACCACAACCACCAAGGGGGGGACCCCACAGCCGCTCCAGGAGCATAGCCAAATTTGTCCCCCAACGAGGGCACACACTTAGAGAGCAAACCATTGTACCAAGGTCACCCTTTCGCCCCCGGGTCGAGTAGAAGCCTCTGGCTCATCTTACAATTATTTGCTGTGAAAATGAAGCAAACCTCAACTATTCTACGACTAAGCTTGTTGGAAGCCTCTGTACCAGAAATAAATCAAATTTTCTTAAATGTGC